GCCACCTGAATCCGCCGAAATGGCGAAGCGGCCGCTGCCCATAGACATTCGCAATAGCGAATGCGTTACCTCCTGATCGACGGAGAAGGAGATGCACATAAAGAGGATATTTCCCCTTTCTATGCGTCTCCTGTACCGTCAAAGCCACGTTCCCTATCCATCCTTTTCGTATAAGAAGAAGGATGGGAAGGAAAAAGGACTAAAGTTGGGCCTCCGGTACCACACACTTCACGCCTGGCTTCTGTGTGGTCGTGTGCATTCTTATTGTCGTACGTCCCAAAAGTGGGTAGATGGCGTTCGCAGTGCGCCGCCAGCTCACTCTATCATGGGCTCTGCGTTTATTGATTAAGGCCTAGTCATCCATAATTTAAGGTAGGCTTCAGCTTAGTTGGGACGTGTACATAAACACAATAACACCTTATATGCAAAAAAATTAACGTGAAAAAACCCCTAAAAATTGATACGCCCATTTCTCTTGTGTAAATACAGTATAATAGATTTCTACCTGCACTAATCTATGGCAAATAGTTTAATTTGATCGTATGTATGTTTATTATCTTGATCTGTATGTGTGCGTGTAAATTCTTGGAGTATAAATACCAAGTAACAAACACTACAAAACCTTAGTAAGCATAGTTAGTATTCCGTATGATTCCCAAACTTTGACATGCTTATAAGTGTACTAGTTGTCTCCCGCGACTCTAGCCGGACGAAATTAAATAAAAAAGATCAGTATAACTAACTTATGGGTTCTTTCAGGATGTTCTACATCTGTGCCTTTCATCGATATCCGTTAAGAACTTTTGGAGATACGTAGTAACATCCATCCATCTAAACATTCGTATTTATAACAGTAAAATAACCAAAATGAGGAATAAAATAAAACCAATTTTAAATGTTTGGTATTCAAAACAATATAATACCAGATTAGTTACTTACATAAATAAAAATATGTGCACGATATAATGTCCCCGAAAATCCTTTTAACCAACTTCTAGTCGGACAAAAGTAGTAAAAATAGTTTGAGAACTGATGTTAAGACTTACATTGAAAGACGATTCCGTTACTTTGAAACGCATTCCATGTTTTAAATAACAGATAACTTAATACATCCCAACGTTATTATTCACCCAATTTTATTCCCTTCCTGAACTTATAAAGAAATGGTGGGAAGAGGAATTGCTTTTGAAGAAGGGAACGCAGTTATGTGGTTGCCTTCAAGAGCAGGGTGAAACGGCACTTATTGAGCTAGCGCGCATCTATCCTTCGGTCGGGTCTTCACTTAGCGTAGGTGGAATCGTGGTCAAGCGCTGCTTTATGTTAAAAAAAATCCTCTTTCAATCGCTCCGTAGATTGTACTTAGGTAATTTGTAATTGCGGATGTCTATGGGCACCAGTTGCTTCGCCATTTTGACGTTGACAAGTGGCCATTAGCTAACTTAACTTTTTTTTTAAATTTAAATGGTCTTCCAAATAAAATATTCTAAAAAAACAATACACTAAAAAGTAACGAAATAATTCCTTGGCTTACTTAAACTTCATTTATTGTAGTTGGTTTGTCTATATTGTACAATTATTATTTTGATATCGGTGTCAGCCGAGGTAGGCAGTGATATTTCTGCGTAAGGCTTACTATATTTTTACCATAACAATTAACGATTGAACGTATAGTAACGATTAAGTAATCTACCTTGAATCACCCACTTACTTGCGGTAATACATAAAAAAAAGTTAAAAATATACAGATTACTTAACACGGCCTAAGAAAGAATAATTGGCATGAGAGGCAGTTAATATTAGAATGGCAACATTGTTCAGGGGAAGTCCCCGATAGCGTCTTTAGTAATAAACTGTAGGTCATATCATGTATCAAAATTCGTCAGAGATATCGAATTACAATAGTTTATTATAATTTTTAAGTTAAGAAACGCCAATTATTTATGTTCATGTATCTATACTATAATAATAAAGCGTAAACATACACTCCTTTGTTGCCTAAGATGTCAGCAATTACATCATATTTTTAATAATTCTTTTTTTAATAAATAGACCTACATTTTCGGCTATATATTTTAACGCCATTAAACTTAGAGGTAAATATTTTGGATAAAAACCCTTATGGGACAAAGAGACTATAAGTTGCTGGCAACATCAAGGAAGTAAATTTATCACGTCATGTCATTTTGACATCTGTAATTGATAATTTGACAGATGTAAACAATAAAATAAAATTTTCATAATTTCATGCGGATGAAGTCGCACGGGAACAGCTGTTTTTTTATTTATATTTTACTAACACATGAAGCTTCTACTATAACGGCAGGTTTCTCAGCTACTTTAAACCAATTGTTAGTTTTTGGTTCGATAACTTCAAGAAATGCGTTTCCGTACTACGTACCTTGGGTTTTACTCCGTTGAAAATTTTTTCAAGTTCACAATATTGAAGCAATAAGCAATGATAAATTACATGGTAACTTCAGAAACCCAGCATAAGTGAAATATAACAATGCTTTTGTTTTTGACAAGGATAACCTTTAGAAAGAGACAACTAGTTTTTTAGTACAGCGTTGTTTTGTCACACACTACAATGTGACGATGTTTATTTAGTATAAAGTTTGGTATTATTGAATTTAAACATTCTTGAAATCTACTCCCCGTATTTAGCAGCACTATGAAACTATATTGTTCAATGTTTAACTATAGTTTGTCTAAATAATTTAGATTAGTTTGATTCATTTCAAATTTAGTAGGGATGGGTTGTGTAAATTTAGTCATGAATCTTATCGATTTTCAATTTTTATTCTCATAGAAGTTGTAATCGATAGATTTATAGTTTTTACTTATGAAATAAAAAACACTGTTTTCTCAAATTAATAATGACCATAACAAATAATGAGAGTAAATAAATGTTTATTACTACTGCAGCCGTACGTAATCGAATTGGATTTCGCTATTATTTCTGTCACCGCTAAATTCTCTACACTGTAATCAATACTGTAATAGGGAATATGCATGTATTTTTTTTCTTTTTGTATACGATTCTACTTGTTATAAAATAACCACAAAAAAAATTTGACGCGAAAATATTCAACCATTGAGCTAAAAATAATAAAATAAAATTACGATCATTTTCGAGCGACTAAAACGCGACCGGAGTTGTCATGAGACGATTGACGTCGATCGTCTATTCCATTCATAACATACGCTCAAATGTCACTTCGACGTAAAACACAACAAAGTTTCTCAAGGTCAAAAAGTCAAAAATCGATTCATTTTTATTATTCCTGGTACAAATAAATGGTAATTAATAATTGTATTCATTAATTTTTTATTTTAAAGTTGGTTTGGATATCATGTTTCCAGTAAAATACTTCAAGAGTGTATTTCTATATAAACTAACGTAAATGAACTGTGTATTGTCAACACAGTGACGTCATATTAGATAAGCCACTTGCTTCGACCAATAGTGTGCGTTTTAGCACTTAGCGAGGGAATTTGAAAAAAGACACTTTTTAATGATTAAATTTTGCCACTAAATCACATTATATTTTAAAAAATCTTTGCAGGACTGTTTTTATAGTAATAAAGTATACTTAAAAAAAGTTTACAATTTGGCGTCATATGCATAATGCCTATTGTTGAATTGCCAATAGGTGAAACAAAACCATATTTAAATGTTTTTGTTTTATTTTGTGACGCCTTTTACTTTATTTTATGATAAAAGATTATTATAATTGTGTTAAATATTTAAAAAATAACTATAAAAGACATGATTTGGCGTACTAAACTTATAATACTACTACGATAACTAATATAGTACCTTTCAAAGCAATTGCCGGTGTGAAAATGTTCACGTCTAGTCTATATATTTCTTTAATGTCTTTGTTTAACTTTGACCTCTATAGATAACCCCTGGGTATAGACCTACAAGGATCTTATGGCAGTTCTCTGACATTAATCGGAATCGACCGCTAGTTTTTAGAGTTACAAGAAAGAAGAAATTGCCATCATCTTTCGATTCGCTAACGATTTTCATAAGTTGATAGACATATAGGATTATTTAAGTAAGTACGAGGTAGTCTTAATTAGTCAGAATCGATAATAACCAGTAAAGTTAGCATAGCTCAGCAAGTAACACTACTTATAAGATCAGCATATGTGACATTTTTTCAGTAATTTCGAATTACGGAAAAAGCGACATTGACATTGAAGCGCTTTCACTATTACGTTGTTAGTTTACATAATTGCCAACTTCCATATGATCCGTGAAGGTCTATACTTAGAAACGATAGTGGTTGCTTCATATCAACTTCAGAGCGTCAGTTATTTACTGTCCACTAATTCTATATCCACTATTAGTTCGAGTTGACTGTTGGTAAGTAATTTTGTAAATGAATTTTTACTATTGTCTTATTGTTTACCAATCTGACATCATACATCATACTAATATTATAAATGCCAAAGTTTCGATGGATGGATGGATGTTTGTTAGAGTTTGTAGCCTAAACGGCTTAACAGATATCGCTGAAATTTGGTATAGATGTAGAGGATAGTCTGGAAGAACACATATGTAGGCTACTCACTTTTTTTAATTCCACCCGGACGGAGTAGCGGGCTAAAACTAGTTTATCTATGTGTGCTCAGAAAAATTATTTTCTGAAGTGAAACTATTATACATTACCACTGTCGGACTGCAGAGTTGTTTTAAAAAATTAGGCCGCCTATACCGGTGAAATACTGCGATCACACAAAAGACAGTTGAATTTGAAGTTGAATTATTTCTGCGTTTCGTCTATTTAGTGTGTGGAGAAGGCCTAATTTCAGTTCCCTTCACCTTTCCCACTTTTATCTAATAAGGGATGGGATGGGAAGGTGGATTTGACACAGGAAAGGGGAAATGATCCTCTCCTTAATACCAGATCTACAAGTTCAGATGTCTACGGACAAAGATCACTTCGATATTTCGGCGAAAGAGGCTGTCACATTATACCATATTATTTTATTACAGATGCAGATAATTAAGATGAGATCGCTTTTATGTAAGTTCCATTCAGATTTTCATAGCTCTGTTAAAACATCATTTTAGAATGACCATTCTATCTACGTTAAAAATATGTTTTTCTTTTGTTTACGAATGTTTGTTTTAACGTAAGAGCGTCGATGGTTTAGGGGATTAAGCACTTGACTTGTAATCTACGAGTCCTGGGTTCGAATAACTAATAATTACATAATTTACCTGACGTTCTTACGGCGAAGGAACACAAAACGGAACCTACACATATCGGCGAAGAAATTCAAAGATAGGTGTGAAGTCAACCCGCAGTGGGCTAGCGTGGTTGACTATGACCTAGTCACCCCTAACTTATGGTAGGCTCCAAGTCCCTTAGTGGGGACGTATTGTGAGCTGATGATAATGATTTTTTGTTAAAATTTTTAATATTTATATTGTCAATTATATGTAATAGAAATGATTCATTTTTCTTTTTTTTTCAGGGATGGTTTTAATCGTACCGGTTTTGTCAAATAAATCGACAAAGAAGTCAACATTTGGGTGTTTTAGTAAATGTAATAACAATACGCATGAAATTGATGTTAAATGTGAGGACAGTTTCAATTTGTGGGAAACCGACCAGTTATGTACATCCGCATATTATAATGAGACACAGTTTTTAATGTCTATAGTTTTTAGAAGATCCGATTTTGGTAACATGGACAGCATTGCGTGGATAAACAGTGACATTGAACGCATTGTTTCACTCGATTTAAGTAATAACCGGTTTAATAATCAACCGACGTTGGATTCTATACCCAATTTGAAAATATTAAATATCTCCCACAATCTTTTAAATGTCGCCAAACTATCTAACGAAATAACGTACTCTTACCTGCATACACTAGATTATTCCTACAACAAAATCATGAGAATAGAATTAAACATCAAACACAATATTTATGCAAATTTAAAAACATTGGATTTATCTCATAATTTAATTGATGTTGTACCAGATGGAATATTTAATGGATTTAATTATTTAGAAGATTTAAATTTATCTTTTAACCATTTGATGGATTTAAATTCAATGACTTTTAGGGGAGCTGAAAATTTGCGAAGCTTAGATCTTGGATACAATCATATCGTAGTTATAAACTCTTCCTTTTTAGGATTTGCAAAGTTGCAGCAATTGTCGCTGAGAAATAACTTTATTGATAATATTTCATACGACGATTTAAAAAACCTAAGTAATGTAATCAAACTAGATTTGAGTTCTAATTATATATCGCTGATTCTTTTTTGGACATTTCGTAAACTGTCATCATTGAAATGTTTAGATTTAAGTGATAATATTTTAGATAATATTGAAAAAGAATCGTTCGATGAAACAGTTTGTTTAGATACAATCTATTTGTCTGGTAATAATTTGAAAAATATACCAAATGATTTATTTGAGAGTAGGAATATTTCACAAATAACATTAAACAATAATATTTTAGAAGGAAGTCTTTCCCGTGGAATGTTTAGCGGACTGAATGGCATCAACAAACTTGAAATTTCGCACCAAAATTTAGTTGCTATAGAAGATTTTGCTTTTTATGGTTTAAATAAACTAGAAATATTATTGTTAAATAATAATAGCATTAATAATATGTCAAAGAACTCGTTCAAGTTACTCAATAACGTAAAACAAATAGACCTTTCTTACAACAATATTAAGGATTTTGATTTTGACAAAAGTGATCTTTTGAATTTGATATCAATCTCATTAAAAAATAATCTGATATCGAATCTACCTGAAAATTGTTTTAAAGATTTAGATAACCTCCAAGTTTTAGATATATCGCATAATTTTATTACCAAAATAGAATTAAACACGTTCAAGAAATTGAATATGTTGACCGAGGTAGCAATTTCGAGTTCATTGTCTGATTTTTCAAATGTATTCGCATCAAAAATTTTAACAGATATTGATGTTTCATTTTCGGAAATACCTGAGGTGAACGGTTACTCATTTAATCATATGAATAGATTGCAAAATATAAATATGTCACATTGTGGGATTACAAGTCTGTACAGTAAGGCTTTCAGCGGCACAGGTAATGTAACACAGCTTGACCTGTCATTTAACAAGCTTACCATTTTTGTTATCTCAGTAACAGATTTGAAGCAATTAAAAACACTCTTGTTAAACAATAACAACTTGTCGGATATCACATTCATCTCATTTGATTTACTTTATAATCTTATTTACTTAGATTTATCATACAACAACTTGTTAAAATTTCACGATGTCACATTTATGGATTTAAAAAGGTTACGTTATTTAGATTTATCATATAATGTTAACTTTAATAATGTAGATTTTTTCACAACTCTCGATTTGTTATATAATATAGATATTTTAAACATATCAGGATTGCAATTAGATACGTTAAGAAATAACTTGACTTTTGGGTCTGAGAAAAGATGTCAGCTGAGAGAATTAGTTGTGTCTAATGCAAGATTAGAAAATCCAAATAAACTGAACATCAGCAAATTAAGATTCTTAAGTAATCTTGTACTTAGTCACAATGAGATAAGATATATCAATAAAGATTTTCTATCGAATGTCTACCGCATACAAGAGATTGATTTAAGTTACAATAGAATAGAATATATTCAACCTGGTGCATTAAAAAATAAGGTCCATTTGAAAACATTGAATTTATCCCATAACTTTCTTACTGGTTTTAAATATGGAGCATTCCGAGGCCTTGTTAGGTTAAACGTTTTAGATTTGTCTTACAATCAAATCGTTCGCTACCAGAAGGAGATATTGGAGGAAGCGGAGCATTTAGACGTCTTAATACTGGATAATAATAGGATACCTTATATCAATTATAGTGAATTTTCAGAAACATCTTTATCAAAACTAAGCATAGGCAACAATTCTATACCGTGTAAAGAAATATCTTTATTACTTTTAGTTGATTATGTTGACGTAGTTGGTCAAAATGTAGATGAATATGAGGAAAATGTAAATGGAATAATTTGTGGAACTAAGTAGTTACTTATTATACTCGTATAAGTATGTATATTGAATAAAATAGTTAATTTTTAAAACCTGATTTTAATTAATAGATTTTCAAAATATTACTAGCGATCCGCCACAGCTTCGCTTGGATGGCAAAGAACATATTTCCCATATATTTTCTGTCATAACCATTTCCTTCCCGATAATGTAATATATACTAATATTATAATGAGAAATTACTGCAAAAACTACTGGTTCAATTTTAAATTCTTTTACCATTACAAAGTTAGATTACCGCTGAGTAACATGGGTTAACATAGTTTAACAGTGGTAGTGCCCGCTTTAACATCTTAGCACGAATGGGCCGGCACGCCCGGTGTAATACCACGACCACACAGAAGACTGGCGTAAAATGGAAGCAATTCCGTGTTTCGTCTAATGAGTGTGGTGCCGGAGGCCTAATTTAAGTCCCTTTCTCTTTACCATCCTTTTCTTATAAGGGGAGGATGGGAAGGGGAAATGGGTTTGACGGTGGAGGAGAAGCATAGGAAGGGGAAATATCCTCTTTATGTGCGTCTCCTCCTCTGTCGGATACAGGTAGGCAACGTATCTGCAATTGCGGATGTCTATGGGCAGCGTTCGCTTCGCCATTTTGGCGGATTCAAGTGGCCGCTTGCTCGTTTGCCACCTTATGTTATAAAAAAAAGGTTATATTTTTAAATTTCACGTGAGCGAAGTCGCAAGCAACAGCTAGTATGTTCTATTATAGCTTAGGTTATCCAGTGGTAATATAGCTTTTTAATAGCGAACGAATTTCTGAAATTATTCAATGCAAACAATCAAATATTTTCTCTAACTAAAAAGCGTGTGTGTTCCGTTGAATTTTTATTAGATACAGATATATAAGGTTATCAATATTTTTATAACCCGTCTAACAGTGCCCTTCTCGCAGTCGTCACGCATTCGCTGATAGTCTGAGCTAGAGATATGAAATCAACAACATAGTCGCACAAAACTGTAGCATCACTTCGTCGTCTTCAAGGCCGGCGTTAGTCGGTTAGACGACCGCCCAGGGTGCTGAACGAAATAGAAGCCACATTGCAAGATAATTTTGTAAGTCCCTCCCCCCTCGAAAATACTGAACAAGAGGACATTGTAGATTTCACCCAGGGCGTTTGTAGAAATGGTTTTGGTCGTGTCTGTTTTGTTAAAGAAAATGAGAGGGATAACAATTTGGTACAGACTACAGACTTTTTATCGGCCGATAATTTAGTTTTGCTCATAATCAGTATGAACATGTATGAAGGTACATCGTTTTTTTTTTACAAAATTTTGACTTTTACCTAATCCGATCAAACTATCGGCCGTAAAAAAGTATGTTCTTGGAAGGCTTGCGCTTCATCGAGTTGACAAAAAGGACATTTATGTTTTAGTTTGAAAAAAAAACTAAATTTTATTTCATTTCAAGATTTGCAGGGGACACCCGGATTTGAACCAGGGACCTATCGATCTGCAGTCGATTGCTCTACCACTGAGCTATATCCCCGACGTTAGTCGATATTAAATTGTTGTAGTTAAGGAAAAAAATAGGTTTTAAACCTAATAACATCTTTCAATTATTAATATTAGTATTCACCAACCCCCACTTTCCAATGTGGTTAGTTATGGCGTAGTCAATAATTTCTTACTTAGGGTAGGCTTCAATCCCTCATTAGGGACGTATGAGCTGGTGGCGATGAATTCCAATAATTTGGATAGAAACAGTTAAATTATTGTTAAGGTCTTTGAGCACGGCAGATATTATGTAAAATTTGGTTTTTATTTACGACTAACTATTCCCGTGCGGCTTCATCCGCATGAAATTATGATTTTTTTATTGTTTACATTTGTCAAATTATCAATAGGAAATACAAAAATAACATAACATGACATGATAAATCTTAGCAAACTTTCTTTCTTGATGTTGGCAGCAACTTATGGTCTCTTTCCCACATTTTTTTATCCAAAATATAAACCCCCTAAGTTTAATGGCGTGGAAATATATAGCCTAAAGCGTGACGTAAGTGAAGGGCTTTTTATTAAAAAAATAATTATTCAAAAATATGCTGTAATTGCTGACATCTTAGGCAACAAAGAAGTGTGTGTTTATGCTTTATTATAATAGTATAGAGTATAGATTATGATTTAAACTCTTCTCGTCCTTTTACTGGATTAAATATAAAAGCACGACGTAAAACGGAAAAGTAACATTTCAGTGTTTTTAAATTTTTAAACCGGACGATACTTAAGTGAGTACTTTATTTTCATTCCGGTTGGAATCTTTTTGTTTAATATGAATGAAATTTCGCTAGAGCGACTTTTTACTGGCCATGACGTTTTTTTTAAAACGGTTTTATTTCATGTATTTTTTTAAAAAGGAACTTGTCAATGGCTCAAAATGGTTACCAGTAGTCATTGTATGGAATTGAATTACAAATAGTTACTTTAACTAAGTGGATATTCAATAATCCTATAACAGGGATTGACTGCAATAACCACGAGTGCTTGAAATCTCAAAATAAAAAATAAATAAAAAACTAGAGTCATTTATATGCAGATTTATCATTTTTGATCATAGTTTTTTATGAGCTCGAGGTCAATGACCTCTTGTTTAAACGTAGTGCTATAAAAGTAACAGAAATGGCACGAAATTAATTGTCATTCTCTTGAAATGTATTCAAGATGTTTAACATTGCAGAGATGTCTGTTTGTTCATCTTAATTAGCATTCCAGACGTGTTCCAAAACTTCTGTCTCCGCGTCAAGTTGGCACGCTCGTCGTGACAGTTCTAAGCAAACGTATTTTATTTTTAGTTGTTTATGATTTGTATATAAAAGATATGACTGAACCTGATTATCGATTCTCAAGATAGATTCTATATATATACGCTTCGCATAGTATGGAGTTTGAACGTGAAAACGTCACTTACTACTAAGTAACTACTATCTTTATTATATCACTAGCTGTTGCTCGCGACTTCGCCCACTTGAAGTTACAAATATAACCTATTACGTTCTCCCTTTTTTTCAACCTATTACCAAAAGTATTAACATAGTAGTAATCTACGTACGTAATAACATAAATCTACCTATGCAAGATTCCAAATTTCTAAGCCCGGTAGCTTGTAAGCTGATTTTTCGGTTACCCTTATTGTTTGTGTTCGCGATATCTTCTAAACTATTAGTCCAATTCAAATACTGTTTAGGACAATTTTATTCTACAATAAATTCTCCTGATAACAAATGCATTTATTTGGGTAAGGATTAATATTGAAATCAATAAAAGAACGCTGCAAATAGCGTGAGGTTTTTAATTCATTTTGTCAACAAAAAAGTGGTTATTGTAAGAAAACCGTTAAAGATAGATATATGCTATCGCGGACTTTTCTGTAGAACTTTTTGAGATCTACAATTTTTTTAATACATCATTTTTATATACCTCTATCGGTTTAGGCAGCGTAAGCCGAGAAAAGTTAAAGTTTAGTGATTTTTTAACGCCGGCGTTCAGAAACACGCTGTTTATCAATAGTTCCTAAACATAAGTAATAATAAAATATAGCCTATGTTTCTCACAGATAAATTACCTTTCTGATGGTAAAAGAATTTTTAAAATCGGTCCAGTAGTTTTTGAGTTATTTCAATACATACAAAAATACTAAGTTTTCCTCTTTATAATATTAGTATAGAAGTATAGATAAGGTAGCAAACAAACAAGCAGCCACCTGAATCCGCCGAAATGACGAAGCCACCGCTGCCCAGAAACATTCGCTGTTATGTTGCTTATCCTTAATCGACGAAGGTAGAGGCGCATATAAAGAGATATAACCCCTTCCCATGTATCTCCTCCGCCATCAAGTCTACTTTTCCTTCCCATCCTTCCTTCTTAAGAAAAGGGACTAAAATTAGTCCGGCACCACAATCATCAGACGAAATGCGGGATTGCTTCCACTTCTGTACTCTGTAGTCGTGGTTTTGCACCAGGCGAGTCGGCCCATTCGTGCGACAATGTTAAACCACGCTCTACTAATGTGTTAACTAGTATCTACTTTCTTTAGTTAAATTTAGTTGAAGTGTTTATAATATTACTACATAAGAAAAATTATACTATAAATCAAAACGTTTTGCTAAAATACCACGCAATTTTAATGTACATAGAAGCTAATAGACTGCAAGTATTTCCAAATAATGTTAAATTTTAAATTTGTTATGTAAAAGTATCATAGAATAACTGGGATATGCATCGGATTGTAGACTTACTTTGAAAATTATTCTAGGAAAACCATCTTTCCATTTTCCAAGCTGACAGCGTTAAGACTCGAATATATTGCAAATTTTTCAAGATGCAACGCGGCTTATGGTTGTTCAAAGATTTGCTACATTTTGTTTTACTGCTTACAGTAAATGACTAAGGAAAATATTAAGAGTATTTGCTACTGTGTTTTTTTCAGAGGGCAATAATACCTTACCACTTGAAATTGCAAATTTAAAATCAAAATTTAAATCATACTAATATTTTAAATGCGAAAGTTTAGATGGATGGATGGATATTTGTTAGAGTTTGTAGCCTGAACTGCTGAACGGATTTCGATGAAATTTGGTTTAGATGTAGAGGATAGTATGGGCGTCACAGCCATGTTATGCTTTAATAAAATATAGTCTTCATTACCTCTTATGTTTTCTTCCAATTTGCACAGAATAACCTTACCGATATGGCCGTCGTGTCGTCGAGCTAATGCAACACCCTTATTTTTGACATCCGACTACTATTCGATTATTAACATAACAAGCACAATTACGACATTTTGAAACCATGACATAAATATTTTAAATACTGTTTTGGATCACCATTACAAAGTTATATCGTTATTTCAAACTATGACAAATGGCATTGATTTATAGCACAGACTAAATAACCTTCAAGAATACAGAATACATCAAAATAGTTAAAAAGCTAACAATAGTCTGGAAGAACACATAGGCTACTCACTTTTGTTT